GTGTGTGTGTGTGTGTGTGTGTGTGTGTGTGTGTGTGTGTGTGTGTGTGTTTAACAGTAACGGTACAGAATTTGCGGAACTGCAACACAAAGGTCATGGACTTCCAGTGTATCAGTTTCAAGAATCCACAGTTCTACAGGTTTGTTGTCCTCATTCTCCTCTCTGGGTCTGATTTTGGCTCTGACATGTACCTAAAGGCTGACCAACAGGTGGGATGGACCAGTCTTCTGTAGTTGATGTCTTTTAATTAATTTGTAAAAAAAAAAAAAAATGCTTCTGCGCCACAAGATTATCATAGCTCCACTGTCAAACTATGGCTGAATGGAGTGGAGTGGACAATGATCAGGAGTGAGACCTGAAGGTGGGCAGGGTGTGAAATGCCTCCTTTGTATTTAAAGAGACAGCACCAAAACGAGTTGCTCTACACACCTCAGAGCACGATTGAAAGAGGGGCCTGTGGAGCTACAAAAAGGAGGAATTCAGACCAAAACATTGCAGTTCCACTTTATATAGACTCAAACTGAATAATTTAAATGTGATAAGGAAGGATTTAAAAGCACGATATGTCTACTTTAAAAGTAGATTTTAAAAAAGTATTTCTGTGACTTTACAAAATGTCCTAACCTGACCTTTTCCACATTTTAAGAAGCAAGCATGTATATTATGGTAACCTACAGATGTTTAAAGGCTCTTTAATGCTGGACGTGTAATTTCTCTATTATCTGCTGGAGTCAGGTCATGCAGCGATACCCATGCATCTCTTCCTTCCCCCAGCCATCTTTTCCAGCTCTTCTGGGAGGATTCCAAGGTGTTCCCAGGCCAGACGTGTCCTGGGTCTTCCCCAGGGTCTCCTCCCTATTAGACATGCCCAGAACACCTCAGTCCCAGTTTTGGACGGACCAACCTCAAAGCACCTAGACTCAGCTTCTTTTGTGGAAGATGTCCTCATGGGGTGAAAATGTTCCTTTCTTTAAAAAATGTTCCCTCCCATGAATCTGAGAAGAATTTTCACACAAAATGGGTCAGTTATACTTTTTGATATATCTTTGTGTGTGTGTGTGTGTGTGTGTGTGTGTGTGTGTGTGTGTGTGTGTGTGTGTGTGTGT